GAGCGCGGAGGAAACGACGCGCGGCGCTAGTTGCGCGAGAAGGCACGTACACGTGGCGACAAGTGTGGAGCGAGCTGAAAGGCAGCGGATGGACTTGCAAACTACCACCTGCCAGCTCCATCGAGACGTGGTGGAAGTTCATGCCGCCGGGAGACAGCGCTAACGGAGCCTAAGGAAAGGACTACTACTTGGGCGAGGACCGCGTGCTCGACCATTACGCATCTGGTAAGAATACAGCTATACTGGCTGTATGATGTCACTAACAAATTGTTTGTTTGCGTTATAGTTCATTCCGCCGCTGCTGTACAAGCACTCTTCGCTCACACGGCTCCCAGGCCTTCCGTGGAAGAAATTCCTCCGTGAGCTCAAGGCGGGCGAAATCGAACAAGTGTGCATTATCACCGACACTGTCTCGATGCCCCACAGTGTCAATACTGTGTCCAGCGACGAAGCATCCTCACGCCCGAAGAACGTCCAACCGATATCGGCGCGTGAAGAGCGCTTTGCAGCGCAGTCGTGGGAAGCACTGAAGGCGTCGGGTAATCCAGCCTACGATGTCGCCCGCGAGTATGCGGACGTCTTCCCGGAGAAGATTCCCGCCGAATTACTAGTGGACAGAGGGGTTCGCCACGAGATTGATCTTGGGCCGGGAACGAAATACTGTGTGACCAGGCGGTGGCTTTGTCGCGCGATCAAGTCAAGGCAATCGATGAGTTTTTCGAGAGTCGACGTAAGGCAGGCCACGTTCGTGAGAGTATTTCGCCACACTCGAGTCCGACGTTCTGCGTGAATAAGGCTACCGGCGGTTGGTGCATTGTTCACGAGTTCGATAAGTTGAACGATGCGGCTATCCCAGCGCAGACGCCTATTCTACGTAAGGACATCGTGTTGGACTCGATGGCGGGAAACATGATCTACAGCACCATTGATTTGACCGACGGCTTCTACCAGACCCTGATGAGGGAGAAGGACACCCCTCTTACAGCGGTCAGCACTCCGAGTGGTATGCTCTGGGAGTGGCTTGTTATTGCACAGGGCCTGAAGAACGTTCCTGTTACTTTCAATCACATGGTCTCCCATGTGCTTCGTCCTCTTCGCGAATTCGGACCGAGTTACTTCGATGGTATCTTCGTCCACAGTCACGCTGAAGGCAATGTCAGCGCGCTAGAACTCGATCCGCGGCACTTGAAGCAGGTCTTCCAAGTGCTGCGGGAGAACAAGCCCAACGTGAATTTGAAGAAGTGGGTCTTCTGTGCTCCAGAGATTCCGGTGTTGGGCTGCTATGTGAGTAAGAACGGAGCCCGTGAGGATCCTGAGAAAATTGCGTCGATCTGTGCTTGGTCAACTCCGACAAACCCCACTGAGATTCGACAGTGGCTGGGTATGGCGAACTACCTTCACAAGTACACGAAAGACTACGCCAAGCTCATCCAACCGTTGTCGTCCTTGTTGAAGAAAGACACGCCGTGGGTATGGGAACCCGAACACCGAGAAGCCTTTGACTCGGTGAAGAAGAGCCTGTCGTCCATACCTGTGTTGATGCTGACGGACGAATCGAAGCCATTCCACGTCGTGTGCGATGCTAGCAACTTCGCCATCGGGAGCGCCATGATGCAATTCGATGATGAGGGTCGAGAACGAGTGATCAGTTACCAGTCCCGCCAGTTGAAACCGGCGGAGAGGAATTATCCCGTACACGACAAGAAGATCCTCGTCATGCGCTACGCGCTGATTAAGTTCAGGGTATATCTGCTTTGAGAGCAGACGTTCGCTGTTTACACTGGTCACGCATCGCTCCGAACCGCGATGAAGCCCCCTCACTTGTCCCAGCCCATGGCTCGCTGGTTATTGTTCTTCTCCGTGTACAACTTCGTGGTGCATTACAAGCCTGGCCAGAACAACATTCTCGCCGACGCGCTGTCTCAGCGTCCAGACTATGTCCCGTTTGAAGGTCTTGGGCGTCAGGCCTTTGTCGAAGATGAAGAGGAGTCAACTGCGACATGCGTCGCGTCCGGGCTGAACCTGACGAGCGTCAGCCCCGAGTCGTCACTGCGAGAAGAGATTGCCGCCGCGTACGAATAGAACGAACAACATGTCGGTATCCTGACGCACCTTCGCTCGCCCAGCGATACGTCATTGAAAGTTCTGTTGCACTCGACTCGCAGTCATATCGAGCGGTATCACCTTGACGGCTCCTTGCTGACGTACGTCATCGACCGATTCGATGCTCTTCGAGTGGTAGTGCCAAATGACAAAGATCTTCGCGCACGGATATCACGAAACTCCAGTTGACTTCAGTGGGAATCGGGAGTGGACGCAGGGGAGCCCTCGATGACGGGGAGGGCTTCACGCGTTGGCAAATTTCGCAGGTGCGCAGCCACGTGCGCACCCATTATACTGGTGAGGCCAGTAGAAGTCTCTCGACACCGCGGCGAATGTCTTTTCGCGCCCCAAATGCCCACCTGGCGTTCGGTGTCGATGGACTTTGGCTTCGGATTACCACCCGATGAGAAGGGTCGTAATGGAGTGTTGGTCTTCGTGGACAGGTTCAGCAAGATGGCACACTTCGTGCCTGTGTCTGCTGAGGTCACCGCGGAGTAGTCCGCGGTGCATTTCGTCGACGCTGTCTTCCGCCACCACGGTCTTCCCGAGTCAATCATCTCCGATCGCGATCCGCGGTTCACAGCCGCCTTTTGGTCGAAGCTCTTCGAATTATTGGGCGCGAAGCTGGTGATGTCGACCACGAGCTATCTAGAGACGGATGGGCAAACTGAACGAGATAACCGCGTCTTTGAAGACGTACTTCGGAGCTACGCAACCTCGTACAAGAACTGGTGTTCATTCTTGCCCCTGGCTGAGTTTGTTGAAAATAACTCCGAGCACTTCTCGACGGGCATGACTCCTTTCTTCGTTAAATTCGCTCGCTATCCTCGCGTTCCGGCGATTCTTGCCGTTGGCCATCCCACGGGGTCCCGTGACTCCACGCTTGGTGGGGGAAAAGCTGTGGCTACGGACACGACACCGGTCAACTCGCCGGTGCCACAACGTGAATCTCCGAATGAAACCATCGTGAACGCCGTGACGCGAGCTCAGACGAAGTAGTCTCTTACATCACCGCGCGACGCGGCGTCCCCACTCGCCCAATGGACAGAACGAATTTTGATCGACCCCGCTCGTGTCCCTGAGCTCATCGGCCCGTGACCCCTCTCGTGAACTACGCGCCGAGACCCCAAGCAGTATCAGCGGATCACGCGGTGGTCTTCGAGTTCGTCCTGCAACGCCAGTCGATCACTCGATTCGTACGTGATGCACTGCAGTGTGCAGTAAACAAGCGGAAAGAAAACGGAGACAAACATGGACGAAAGAATATGGCTTCATTCCACACGGGCGACCGTGTGTTATTGTCGACCGAAGGTATCCGGACTTCTGCTGTGACTAATTGCGGTGCAAACAAACTGACACCGCATTTACGGTTATCAAAGCTATTAGAGACGCGTATACCCTGGACATCCCGTCGTCACTGCGCCTGTACCCGACGTTCTACGTCGGGCTGCTCAAGCGCTACTACCCGGCTGAGATTCCAGACGCCATGAACGTTACTACGGATGGGGGTGTGAATCGAGCGTCCTTCACGACGAGCTTGACGCGCCATCGAGCCATCAGACCCAGGCGCCCGCTGGGGCGGGCGAGCCGCAGCTTGAGCCCTTCCCAGTACACGCGTCTCCAAGGCGCGCAGTCTCGCCAGCAGCTCACGATTCGACCGTCGACGTTGTTCCGTCGTCCATTCAGCGAGCCATGCAACATCCTCCGCCCGTTCAGCCCCAAGCTGAGCGTCCAAGGCTCGGTTCACAGCGACGTCCATGTCATCTTGCGCAGTTGGACCAACGGTACCGCCGTGACGGCCCTCCACCGGTGATTGACGCGGCTGGAAATGTCCGCTGGATTGTGGACCGTATTGTGGAGCACCAAGATTCCCACGATACACGTAATCGTGTACCTGGTCGCAATTCCACCGCCCGCGCGGTGCTCCAGGCGCGGCGATATCGCGTGCGTTGGCTTGGCTTCCCTATGGAAGATAATACATGGGACACGCGCCACGACCTCCTTCGCGATGTCCCAGATGTTGTCCGTGGCTATGACCCAACGCTCGCGGCGGCGAGCGACTCGTCGGGTCGTCCCGAGGTGAACGAGAACGGGATCGCGAATGGCGACGAGTTCGAGAACGTGAACGAGAACGGAAACCACTTGCACGTCCCGGAGCTGAAGGATGATGTCTCCGTCTCGCCGATCGATCGGCAAGACGCGCCTCAATTAGAAGACTGCTCGACGTCGAAGAGTGTACAGTTGTACTTTGTGGTCCAGCCGGACTGTGCAACATCGAGCGGACGCTCGGTGACTTCACGCTGTCACTGCTGCTGCGTAGAGCGATCAGAAGTCCAGCATGAAGAACATCCCTCCTTCAAGTGCATGAAGCACAATCGATCATCGAGTCACGCATCCCGGAAGTTGCGCCAGCGAAGTTCCGAGAGCGAGTGGTCCCGCAACATCTCTTCTCGATACGTGAGCCACTGTGGCAGACTTTCCCCTTCAAAAGTCATCCAGTTCCATCGCCGGATGAAGGCACACCACATTCGATGCAAGGCCTCGCGTCCAACGTCGTCGATCCCCTTCTTCCGCGTCGCGCGGAAGTGTCGGAAGTGGTCCGGCATGGTGTCTGGAGTGTCATGTTGCACAGCAGCCGGCAAGTCGTACAGGGGCCATGGGGCCAATTCGCTATCCATCGTGGTTGTGCGGATCCTGCGTGTGTCTGGGACTTCGGGAGCCGTCGTGGCAGTCCCCGACGTCTCTGTCGGTGTGTTGGGAAGGTCCGTGATTGCTGGTTGCGCTGCCATCGTGTTGTGTTGCTCGCTGGGGCGAGCGCTGCTTCTTCGTCGTCTTCCGTCTTCTTTCCAGAATTTGGGTGTTCTTCGGCAAAGTCCGAAAATGTGCATTCTGCGCTTATGTTGCGTAAGCGCAACTTCAAGGGGGGTGATGTAAAGGGCCACCCCAGTTACATAAGTAGGTAGATTCAATTACATAAGTAGATACATTAGCACACGTGTAGCGAGTGCTGTGTTGTCACTCGCGGATTATCTAAAACAAGGATATCAGCCAATCAGGAGTCTACTTGCATTTGGATGGTTCTCAAGGGGTCAAGACTCCCGCCCTGGACCTAAAGAAATAATGCGTTTTTAATTATCTACGGGTTTAATACTTTCTTTATTATTGCGAGCTTCTTCATCGCTACGTGTAAGCTAGTAAGGGTGAATACCTGGCCCGCCACATCACGAGACATTTCACGTTAGCCTGGCTGTTCAAGTCGACGGGTTTACAGTGTCGCCTAGAACAATAGTCAGTCCTCCTGGCCCCCTGAGCCCTCGAGCTCACGAAGTGCACAAAGGTTGAGGACGAAATACTGGGGGCGATCGCTGCTAGCATCACGCAGAGAGCAACGATCGACGACGATCTCGCCGACATCGCTTCCCGTAAGGAACCTAAACGCCAAAACCAAGCGCCCATACCCACCGTAGATCGTGAAGCAGAGTTATGGGTGGTCAGTTTTGACGGATCCGCTCAAGTTAAGCGTGGTGGGAGCGCATTCAGCGCGATTGTGGGGAGTCTCCCCGGATCGGAGGTGGTCAAAGCAAGATACGTCTTCGTGCGTCAAAACGGGTAGATGTGGCACACCGTCGACCGCTTTTGCCACCTTGTTCTTTCGAGCGATGGTATATGCTCTAATCGAGCATGCCACGCATTTGCACTTGCACCTGCCATGCTGGATGCTGCAACCTCATCAACTCTTTTCTGGGCTGTCATGTTCCAAATGTATAGTTGTCCCTGCTTCTTGACGCGAGACTCAATATTGCCGTCATGAGAGATGACGCACACGTCGGAACCAAATGAAAGCAGCTACCTTTTGCTGCCAACACAAAGACGGATATCAGTTTCCGACTGATGTCAGGAATATACAACACATCTGTCATGCATACGGACTTGCCGTCGGCGAGTGTGAACTTCACCTTACCTTTAGCTCGCGCGGGAAGCCGTTCTCCGTTGGCGACCGTTATCATTAACGACCCCGACAATTCATCGAGCTCCTCGAAGTCCTCAATATCGTATGCCATGTGTGAACTAGCGCCGCTATCAAACAGCCATGATCCAGGTAATGTTTCCGCTGCTGAAAATAGGAACTGTTCGTCGTTCCCTTGTCTAGTTTGTTGTGGACAGTCGGAACGTTTGTGGCCGAACTCCGCACCCAAAGCACTTGCCTTGGAAATCTCCGTCAATGCCACAATTACTCTCGTCGCTGCGTCCCACGCAAGTACCACGGCCACCACGGCCACGACCACCTCCATTTCCGCGCCAATTACGATTCCCCCGACGGTTATTCTGATATCCCCCTGCCTCTGCTGACTGGACGCCTGGAACGCAGCTTCTCCTTTCTCTCGCTTTCGCAGAGAGGTAAACTCACGTCTCAACTTTTCGTGTGCTTCAAGCAAAGAAACATTACCGTGGGCCTCAATGATTTTCACCATGCCGTCGTATTCTTCAGGTAGACTGTCAAGTAGGATAACGATTCGCTCGTCTTCAGCCAAGGACTCTCTTACTGCTATTAGGCGTAGACAGATGTCGTCGAATACCATCAGGTGATCCATGAGATTGCATCCTGCCGCCATCCTAAAGTCGCGGGGCTCCTTGCGTAACTGCACTCGGTTGTGCAGATTCTGTTTTACGAAGAATTCACGGAGTACCCCCACACACACACACACGCTTGGGCCGCAGATATTGTCTCGCGGATCACGGTCTGATAACTGGGCCCGAGGAGCTTAACGAGCACACCCAGTGCCTTCACGTCAGCGACTTTCCATGCGGAGTTTCACGTTGCGCACTCTCATCAGGTTTTAGATCGACATGATCCAACAAGTCATTTCGAGCCAGCGCCATCCGAGCTCCGAATTCCCACAGGAAATAGTTGTCATCCCGCAGAATATCGTTAGGTCCTTTAGACTTTCGGCGCATAACCTCAAAGTAGGTGGTTGCTAGGAAGCTTGACGCTTGGTAGTTGTGTTCGGATCAATGTGAATTGGAAACTGAATGATATTAATGCGATTGGCTTGGCCCTGGTTCACATCCTCTTCCTAGGGCTACTGCCGCTACGTCCAGCCTCCTCTGTCGGTATGTATGCATGAATGGGTAAGTGTGGATAACTTCAAACCTCGATCCCATACGGGATCGAGGGTTGGATCCTCCGGCAGTCCATCCGCCACCAGCTTCACTTGAACTGCAATAATGGTATCTCGGACTATCTCGAGAGCCTCACGATGAATGAGGCAGAATATAACGGCCTGATACTGGGACTCGACATGCTAGAGAAGCTAGATCGCAAGCGTCTAGTGATCTGCGGTGATTCCAATTTGTTAATCCGACAGGTACGAGGCGAGATCGACTGCAAAGCACCCGAATTGACGTTATTGAAGCAGAAGGCCCTCGATCGCCCGAGGAAAGAGAGTGATCATGAACTGGTTCATGTGAAGAGGGACTAGAACGGGAGTGCCGACAGTCTAGCAAGTGCCGCTTTGCAACGACAAGGCCGGACAGAGGTCCAAGGAGGGCTCGGATACCAAGACCTGGTCACATTGAACAGGTTGGACGAAATCCTGATTTCCAAGACCGAGGACCCAGTAGTACGAGTTGCAGTGGTTACCACCCGAGCTTCCAGAGTGAGATCACCCGCGGGGGTTATGCAAGAGAACCTGATCCGGGAGATGCGGGTCGATCGGATCAAGCGGGCTCAGGAGGAGGAGGTCTGGATCGCAGGTATGAAGAAGTATCTGAGTGGCGCGATCGCAGACCTTTCGCAAACTGAAGCAAGATTGTATGGCGAGATCACCGCCGACTATGAGGTAGACAAGCAGGATCTACTCTTCTACTGCCCTCCCGCGCTGAGATCGGAGGATGATCGCGATCAGTTGTTGCGATTGGTTGTCCCAGAAACGCTAAAATCTGATGTCTTACAGCACTGTCACACTACATTGGAAGGAGGATATCAGGGCGTGGGGCGTACCACCGGCGGATCAGGGATATGTGGGGGAATGTGTGGATATCAAAACAGAAAAAGGAAAGCCGGAGATCCGGGGCAAATCACCAGGGAACTTGCAGGCGACGTACCCGTTCCGGATTATTGCGATGAATCACATACCGTCGCTACGCAGATCCCACAAGGGAAACACGGAGTTATTGATCTGGGACGATCTGTTCACAGGATATGTGATCGCAAAATCCAGCTCGTCCCAATCGACCCAGACCGTGGCGGAACCGTACGAAGAGTACGTATTTCGGCGATTTGGTGCCAATGAGATGATCCGGCATGTTCGGGAACCCGGCTTCATGTACGATTTCTTCCGGGCGTTAAATAAGATCCTGGGACAGCGTGCTACGATGGCATATCGGCCCCAAGCCAATGGGAATGGTGAGAGAATGGTGGAGACGGCGACTAGGGCGCTCAAAATGTACGTTCGCGATCTCGATCAGAAGGATTGGGATGAGTATGCTGAGCGACTCACCTTCGCGATCAACAAGGCTCACGACCGGATCCGAGGAGATACTCTCACTATTTGGAGCACGGATGGGATCCGAGACCGACTTTGGAGGCTACCCTGCCAGTCGAATGCACTATCCGGCAAAATCGGGACGTACGGCCGTGGCGTTATCAAGTCCAGCGATATTATCAGCAGTCCCGGGCGCAAGTCAACGCCAGATTGAAGGAAGCGATTGCGGATCGGTCCAACCTACACAACGAAAACGCCGGATCGCACCAGATCGAGGCCGGATCTCGCGTCTGGTTGTACCTAGACCGGATGAAGGAAGGATACGCGCGGAAATTAGCTCATCTGTGGCACGGGACATTCCAAGTTGCTGATAATGTCAACGATTTCAGTGTCCAGCTTGAGGTCACGGGTACCGGGTATCAGATCTTCCCAGAAGCCCACGTGTCGAAGCTGAAGCTGATCAAGGACTTCCCAGATCGGCCACGAGTAGAACTCACGGTGGATGAAACAGATCGTCTCGATTACGATGAGATCCTGCTTCCGGAGGACAGCTGGGTCCCCAGTCTCGGGTCCGATGAATACGAAGTCGAGCGGATCTCGGATGCGCGGAGTGGGAAGAGAACGCGATTTGGTCGGATCTACCGAGAATTCCTGGTGCATTGGGTGGGATACGACGAGCCGACCTGGGTCGACGAAGCTGATGTCAACTGCGGGGCGATACTAAACACTTTCCTACGAGAACGAGCGAATCGGAACCTCTTCAATGTGATGCAATCACATGAGGAGATGTAAGGAGGACGGGGTGAGGTTACCTGATCGTCTTGACCCCAATGAATGTCGGTCACATTAGACCGAGATCAGGAGTTCATGATATATATGTGCATATGGAAACTTTGCAAGCGAACACGGAAGACATGATGAGTCGGAAGAAAGATAACTTAGGGATGGCAATAAAAAGACCAAAGAAGCAGAAGTTGTGGTTGAATTAGGAAATTACGAGATCGACAGGGAAGAAACGCGATCGCGGGTAGGAAATTAGAGACCGCGGAAGTGAGCGAAGCGTGGAAGTCAGATCGGCGATCAAGGGGCCGCTGGAGAGTTGAACTTGTTCACGAGACGAGAGATCTGCAGCGACGGGTGAGCTGAACCGAGATCACGGTAGTGATTCCTCCAGAGGTCCGCCTGATCGCACTCGAACAGGGCCGTGATCAGGTCGGTCGGCTCGAGGAGATTCACTGTCGGCTGCGCGAGATTGGCCGCCCAGGAGACCGATTCAGGGTACCAACGCACCCCACCCCGTACTGTCGGCAGGTGGAAGAAATAGGGATCCAGCAGGATGTCGATGTAGGCCCACTGGGTCCTCATCACTAGGAGACATTCTCCCAACAGTTTTCGCCAACTTTCTCCAGCCCGGATCCGTCGCTGACGGCGGTCTTGGTGGTAGGTGAAGAGATCTGAGTCCGCGGCGGCCATCCCTTATGTGATCTCAGGATAATGCGTCGATTCCGAATACGCAATCATGTGACCCTCCTCCGGCGCGGAATACAATACGTCGATCCGTCATAGAGGGGTTCCCGCTCGCCGGTGCAGGTTGTGATCAAAAGTCAGTGGAGTGGGGCGACGCTGTCCATGCATACGCCACGGCTCGGTAGCCACGGGAGCCAAAACGTAGGCCCCAGTGATCAACTCCGAACGATGACCCGTCACTGATATGGGCGCCCGGACAAGAGGACTTCGGACGGGGAACAGGAAACAGGGCGGGATCGGCAACCGTTTGGTCAAAGGACCCGGGGTCATAGCTATGATAGGCATAGTTTCCACGATAGTCGGGTCTCACGGAGTGATCTCGGCCGCCGTGAAGAGCTTGGCGGTGGAATATGGAGGAATACTCGCTTCGGCGGGAAATAGCGGCGGATGTAGCTGGATGGGTGAACCACCCCCAGGAGAACCACCGCCAGGACTTCCGCCGGGAGATCTGGGAGGTGTAGGAGGAGGCGTCGTGGGGCCGTGGTCTGACGAAGGGGAGTCATGATCACCCGGGCTGCTCCCACCACCGCTTGGGAACTCGGGTTCATCTTCGAGCTCCGGACCCTCGGTCTCAGGCTGATCTTTGAGTTCCTCGCCTTCCGGACCCTCGATCTTGGAGTTATCTTCGGGTTCCTCGTCTTCCGGACTCTCGATCTCGGGCTGATCTTGGTTAGCCGGCGGGGAAACAAGCCGATCACTGCGAGGCGTCTTGAGAGACGGTGATTGGGGCGGAGAACGGGGTGGACTTCGCTCACGTTTTGGCATCCGCGCCGCCTGACTCTCTCGGATCCGGCTCGCGAGATGTGTGAGAAGCACATCGGTCTCATTCAGATCACTCTGGGCCAGATCTGGCAATTCGCCGAGTTGGTCGTGGGTGACCTGGAGATCCGCCATCCTGCCCTCCCGCGCTTGAAGTTCCAGGCGAACCACCTCAAGACCATCGTCCAGTTGGGTGGCGCGGGCGGCCTCGGTGAACAGATCCAAGCGGACCTGATCGCGTTCGGCAATCGGCTGATCACGGAGCTGAAGCGCCAAACCACGATCGGCAAGCGTCCGATCCTCAGTAGTCTAGGCAAGTTGCTTGAAGGCTCGATCACGATCGGAGGTGACCTGCGTCAGGGTTGCGGTCGAGCGCAAGATTTGCTAACACGCGATCACGGTGGGCCTGGGCCAGACGAGTATTGCCTCCAAGGGACGATGCCCCTCCATGATCCGTTTGCGGGTGGGTGAGGCTGGAGGATATCCGATTGTAACTGACGAGAGAGATAGCGGATTCAGATCTCTCGTCGTCGGTCTCGCGCTCCAAACTGCGAACCTGCTCCTGCAAGTCCCTGATCGATCCCAAGAAAAAGTATGTATCCAGATGTCAGGTATCGAGGCCCGATCGCGATGGCCGATCGCCGATCCCAAGAAAGGTATGTATCCAGGTGTCAGGCAATCGTAGGAAAGCAGCTGAGGATAGTTTGCAAACATAGGGAAAAAGTAAACAGACTCGATTTGGCTCTAAGCCACACAAGTGTCCGCCTCCGCCTGGAACCGGGGACTATTTTAGCCCCTCAAGCGCGTAGACGGTAAGGGCATAGAATATAACGTAGCAGTTAGGACCGGATAATATATTGGCCAGTTTTGCCCTATCTAGTGGCTTGTCCTCAAGTTTTTGTTGTTAATCGGAAGGCATTGATTGCTTGGCCTAACGATTGCATCGAGTCTCGACCCAACAAGTTCCCCGCTATTGGAAGCGGCAAGCATATCAAGGAAGGAGCAAGATCTCCGTATTTGGACAACCCCAAGACCAGGATCGACTTGTGGTGAAGTCGGGAAACTTTCACCCCTTGGCGTACAGTGCTCGCTCTGGTCCCGAGACTCTAGGAGACTCAAAATGTACAGAGGGTCAGAACTCTGAGAACCTGTTGGGAACTCTGAGTTTGGCGTATGGCCCTTGTGTATAATCCCTTTGGGTTGAACCCAATATTAGGGAACTCTTGGTCTCGACCGTTGGTAGATAGGTTTAGGAAGTCTGTGTGACCCACTTTCTGAGTTCACCACTATGACTGAAGCCAAAACCCCAGAACACACTTCTCTTTATAAGACAACCAAATACAATACAGAGAGCTTATATATGCAGCCACTACTTTTTTTATAGACCCTTGAGTGGGGGTCTGTCACCAGTCCTACTAGGAACTACGACTCAGACACTGGTCAGTCTGAGTCGCTTCCACAATCA